AATTTGGCGTCAAGACATGAATTAGCTCATCTTCAAAAAACCCTCGCATGTTTCTTTTATGAAAAAGAAAAAATCGAAAAGTATATTTGCGAATGAGTAATGACAATTTGGTTAGTAATATTGGTGAATGTTACACTTAGTTGAAAAAAAATTATTAATTGTAATTACACATATGTTTTAATGAATTAGGTATTTCTTACGGCAAAAACGTTCATCACGTAGATGAATCAAGGGTACTTCAAAAAAAAAATTTTAAGAGAGGGCCACCAAGAGAAAATAAAAATAAAATCCAAAATTGTCTATTTTTTTTAATTTAAAAAAATTTTTTTTTACATGCCTCCCTTGGAAATTTTCACAAATAAATTTAATAAATGCTATTAAACCCAGAGTTTAAGGCATGACATTTAAATTTTTAAAAATCATGTAAAAATGACGCTCTTATTTAAATAGATGAACTAGAAAAACAGAAAATTCCTTTTTTTTTATTATTTTAATTTTGTTGTATTTGTGTTCATTTATTAGTTTAATTTTAAAATAATTTTTATTTTTTTGCAGAATACACCATGCAAATATATTAGTTCAATAGCATAAGATTTAAAAATTCAACTTTACTGCTCAGTTGGCACATTATTATTACATAATAAAGATGTATAATTAGTTAAAATTATAATATTTTGAAGCAAAATGTAACTGTCCATTTATTGACTTTTTCAGACAATATCACTTTTCTGACATCCTTGCCTTGGGGGGGGGCGACCTTGGAAATAAAAGGGGGTGCGGGGAGATTTTTTGGATTGAAAGGGTCTCAGATGGTGACCGATAAATGAGTTTTATTTATTTATATATTTTTGCGTGAAAAAAAATATTTTTATCATTTATTATGTTATCTTTTTACCAGACTGATAAAATCTATTACTGGTAGAGTTTTGTAACCTTATTTACCATACCTGAATACGTTTCTATTTTCTTTCATTATGCTTAACTACCTATTTTAGGGCCCCATGAGTGGATCCATTGAGCATTCTATTTTATCCAACAAAGTAATCACAATCTTTTCTGCTAATTACGAAGAGTTAGTATTCCTTTAGTAAAAATGCTTTAAGTGGCATAAATCGTTAAAACACCTTCATTTTTTTCCCTTTTAAAATAAATATGAATCCTCAAAACGTATCATATTTTTTTTAATTTTATTTTTCTTACTTGATACGTGCTGTGGTTCAGGCGATAGAGCACTCACCTCCCAATGAGATGACACAGGTTCGAAATCCAGTTGTAACTGGTTGATACACATTTTTTAGTTATACTGGTTGATTCTGCTCAATGCTCGCTCTGATCACAGTGCTGACGTAAAATATTCTGAGTGGTGGGTTAGAATCCCCTTATCGTCGGGCTAACAGTGGAATATTTTTCTCTCAATGTAGCACAAATGCGGGTTAGACCCATCAAAAAGTCCATCACAAAACTAATTTGTAATAATGCTAAATCAAGGAGCTCCCTTGTCTTCTGGGTCGGGTTTAAAATTATGTCTGCGAAGTTGAATATTGATAATCGTAAACTTAAAATTGGGTCGACTGTTTAAGGCCGGTTATAAAAAATAAAATACTTCTTATGTGCAATGCCTGCATCACTCGTTAAAAAATGCAGATTTGGGGAATGTTAATTAATTATGGTAGAGTCTTTCAAGTTTGGCAACAGACAGTTCTCTGTGTCTCCACACTATGTGCGGGTGTATTTAATGATAAGCCTAGAAGAAAATAATAATTACAAAGCCTAATAAGCTAAGTTATTAACTAATTCATTACATAAAAGTAAAGGAAGATCAAAGCATTAAAATTAACAAATAACTAACCGACACAGGCTATTGTGTACTTAAGGAACTTTACGTACACAACAATAACTATGTTAATATTTCGTTAAAACACCTTCACGGTTAAAATTTTATTTTGCGTGTAACGTGATTTGTATACTAGCTTATGTCTAAAAGGTTTCAATGTGATTAAGTAAATGATTTAATAAAATATGCATTTAATTGCGAGTCAAGTAATTGTGTGGCTCAGGTTATTGCGCAAAATTTGAATTTAATATGTATAATGGGATATAAATTGAAAGCGTGAATGTTGCTTGCGTATTATATTTAGGAGTCTTCTTTAATTAAAAACTAGGCGTAGTGTGGAAGAAATTTGGATGCACACGTTTTCTTTATACTGAAGCAAATATAGTTGTGTTTATTTTAAGTGAAACAATGCAAGGTATGATTCATGGAATAACTTCTTTTAAAACTAAGATACTATATAAGATGTACGCAAAAAAAAAAAAAAAAAAAAAAAAAAAAAAAAAAAAAAAAAAAANAAAAAAAAAAAAAATAATAATATGTCTTAAAATTTAAAGAAGAATTTTATGGATATAGGATATAAAAAAGAGAGTCCAAATCAATATCCAAAACATGGGAAAAAGTTATTATAAATTGATTTTATTTTAATCTTTTATTTGGGACATTTCAGGAAAATAGCATTCATTATAATGTATAATCCTAATTTAACCATAAAATTCTCTCGAAATGCGTGAATAGGAAACTAAAAGAATGAAATTTTTACTTCATATTTTTATATAACTTGAAAATTTTTAACAAGCTTTGCACCATTCGGTCTTCTCCAAGTTCGGTGCCGAATTTTCAAGGGGCTATTCGATAATTTAATAAAATATTTTAGAACACATTTTATTCAAACATTGAAAAAATAAAATTAAATAAAAATCTTAAGCTAAAGTTAATTAGAATTAAAAAAGAATATTTCCTTTCAAAAGAAATTTATGGCAACAACTGGTTAAAAGGTATAAGAATATTAAGCATAATTCCATTAATTAATTTTTCCGTAGAAATTTATACTTCAAATAAATCGGAAGATAAATTTCGAATTTAAAACAAGCTCCTTCTACAATTTGAGCATTTTGAAATAAAAATAAATTCAATGCTAATAAAAGTTTAACAAAGAAGAATAAGTATCTATAAAAACTATTACACTATATTGAAAAATTATTACAAGAACAAATTATGTATATCTATACACATATTATTAAACTGCTCTGAATAACTACTAACTACAATCATACACTAGCAATAGTGCTTGAATTTTGAATAATTGAAATGGTTTCTTTCGAACCTTCAATTTAAAAAAAATCATTAAATAATATTTAAGGCTTGTTTTACATGAAATTATTTTGTTAATCATTTATAAACCATTTAAAATTTTTAGTTATTGATAAATATCTATTTGTGGGGTTCGTTTTCTTATTTTAGAAATAATATTGAAAAAGATCTACAGTTTTGGAAAATTATTATTGAAATGTAGTTTTTGAAAAAGGTAGGAAGTATTTTTCCGAATGAAAATTTTAAAAATGTAGTTTTGGATTAACGTGATCCCTAAAAGCCTTCACGACGCTATGGCTACGCCTCTGTTTTTAATCTACAAAAGGTAAATATTATGATAAATCAGTTACATAAGTTTTTAATAAGCTATCACCTATCAATAAAGGCTAAAGGGGAAAAGTATTGTTTGTGATCAATAAATCGTAAAGTGATAACTGATGCAGCGGGTATAAAATCCTTTGGATTGTCTTAGAAATATGCCGTGAAAATATAATTTACGATTACAAGTCAATAGCTACAGAAAAATAAATGATTTACTATATAATCTTTTAAATTCCAGTTATTTTGTGTAAAATGACTGCCTTAATTAAATTTAGTCATTTTACTATTTTGTTAAAACATAAAAAAAAAAACATTTATATTTTAAAGTATATATTTTTTAACATATATATTTTAAAGTAATATCTTTTTGTTAAACAGAGGGAAAAAAAATTCTAAATCTTATTGTTTTTATGAATCGAAATGATGCGAATTTAAATTTTGTGACCATATAATACTTCGCAATCAGACATAGAAATTTCATTTATTGTAAAAAGGTTTTTAAAATTACTATAATAAAGTTCGGAGATAGTAACAGTAATAATTATTAAAACCTTGTTAATTGTAAATACACTGCATTTAGCTTTACATGTTCTTAAAATGAATATTTTATTTCCAATTCTATTAACCCGTAAAAAAGAAAGAACTTTAAGAACAAACAAATAAAGCCATAGTTAAAAACAGATTAATTGCTTTTATATATTCAGGAACGTAGATTTATTTTATTTTTTTAGTTTAAAACTAGATAAAGGAACAGTTGAACGGAATGCTTAAAATTTGTTTCCAAATTAAAAAACATTTTATGACTTATTTGCTAATAGATTTGATACATTTAACGTTTATTATATAATAGCAGTTGCATTTTAAATGAAGTTATGCCGCTTTTTTAAATCATTCGTTAATTATTTTCAATAATTATAAATTCTCGTTTCATTAACGGCGTTTCTTTCTTTTTTTTCAACTTTCATCCCAGTTAAGATTTAATAAAAATAGGATGATTCGAGAACTTTTTTCTTAAATGATGAATTTTAAATTATAATTATTCATTGAAAAATTAAAAGTTTTATTCAGTAGAAAATGCATTAACTTATTTTTAGATTCGTTTTGTTTCGAAGCTGCTTTTTTTTAAAAAATTCAAAATATATATGTATGCGTTGATTAAAGTATTCATTTGTTAGTAGAGGATTAAAAAAAAAAATGTTTAAAATGTCGATTTATTTTGTAACAAGTAAAAGAGGCGAGTAAAAGGAGAGGGAAATAATAAGTTCGCAGGAAAGGAAAATGATTCACTCTGTCGGTTTTTCCTTGTATAGAGAGAGCTATCTGCTGAACTCCAGGGTTTCGCAATTCTTGCAACTTGTTCCTCGTGCGACCGCGGATTGGGCTGGCCTAAAAACGGCTGGGAAAAAACCGGCTACGCGAATATTTTCCTTCTTTTTCTGGAGCAGGCGTCTCAGCTCAAACAGCACGTACATTCCGTGACGTCAGAGGAGAAAAGTTGACTCCCATGTCTTTTCCATATCCTGTTTGGGTTGTTTCCTTTTTTGTTTAGTTCTTTTTCTTTTTCCGCTTTCGTCTTTCCCGGAGTTCTTTTCATTTCTTTTTTTATTTTTTCCCCCTCGAATCGTTTTCTCTACGGTCCTGGCGGATTGTCAGTTTTGTTGGCGTCCGCCATTAAAACTGTTTCCCGGAGGTAAGTATAGAACTTTTTTTATCGTCGTTTCTGCGCATTTCGGAGACCTTTGCCTGTTGACTCGATATTTCGAGATCATCTTGAAGATTGTTTGTGAAGTTAGAAAGATATTTGAGAAAAATCTAACAGGCTGTACACAAAATAGTGTTTTCGGCTATACAGGTGGTAGATTTTGAATCGCACAAGTTGCCACCAGATGGCTGAGTGTAGTATGTTCTTCAGAAAGTGAATATTTTCGAAAGTAAATGGGGTTTGGAATGCTGGAATTTTGTTTATACTTTAGTGGGAGCCTAGAACTTTTTTTTTTTTTATTATTATTATTATTATATTTCACTAATCACCTTGAGCGCTGACCCATGCAACTCTATTATAAGTGTGATAGCACAAAAGAAATATTTATTTTGCTTATTATTTTAAACAAATTTAAAAATTTGTATTAATTTCCATTTATATTATTAAGTTCAAAAACACATTATTTAACTTTTTTTAAAAATTTGTGCAGGTTTTCTTGCAAAAAAATATACTATTAAAAGCGCATTTTTGTAGAGAAAGGGTCTAAGAAATAACTTTTTATTATTTCCTCTTTGCTTTCGTGTTCCATAAAATTATTTAAAAATATTTCCAACCAAGTTGTACAAATAAATTTTAAATTATTTGCGCAATCAAATCGTGAGTTAGTACAAATGTTTTACCTTTGCATAAAACTTAGATTTGGTGTGAAATTATGTAAATAAACAAATTTTTTCTGGGCATGTGAAAGCATAAATTTTTAATACTGTAAAAATGAGAGAATATTGAGAATTTTGTTTTTATTTGTGCTTGAATTTGATTCTAATGTTGTGATTGACTATCAGTAATTTTTAACTGACTTAATTTAATCACTGATAAACAATTAAGTGTTTTTATTTATTTATTTAATCCGTTATAAAACTTTTAACATTTATTTTCAATGTTTTAATTATTAGGTTATTTTCTGCGGAAAATTTTAACTTCATAAACTGCTAATTAGTAATTTTAATTTGTAAACTTTCGTGTTTGAAATATTATAAAACTTTTAGCATTACACAAAAATGCTTTTATTCATAATTTTTAATTCTTTTTGGCTATTTAATTTGATGTTACTGTTTTATTTTTATCCTTGTTTTATATTAATTAAGTTTGTTGATTGATTGTTTTATTAATTATAATTTTGACTGAATTATTGAACTATAATTTTTAAAAAATATGGTTTTCTATGCATAATACACATTTTGTTTCAGAATATTTCTATGCATGTTTTCATGACTCATTTTATTGTGTGTTTTCTTTATAATTTGTCTAAATTTTTCTCAAAACTGTATATTTTCATTTTATAATTTTGCAATAATTTGTTATTTGTTATCCTGTTCAATTTTTTATTTCATTCAGTTTTATACAAAAATATTTATTCTTTAGTTATGTGTTTTTTAGCTATTTTATAGTTTACTTATATTTATAGTTATTGTTATTCATTTTTATAGCTCTTTTATCTTATGTTTTCATAATTATTTATTAGTTTTCAATTTAAATTATGCATCTATATTTTTGATTTAAAGTTTTATTCATAGTTTCTTAGTATTTCCAAGTTTTGTGTTATCTACTTTTTTTATGTACATTTTTTACGATGTAGAATTTTTCATTAATTATTACTTTTATATTGTATATTAAGGTATAATAATGATTTATTTTCATATTTTGTATTATTCCTTTCATTTAAATAGCTTTTGTATTTTGCTTGATTATTTTTTTATCAGTTTATAATTTGAGAATGTGACTGCTTTGCTTTAAAAAATGGGGATATTACTGTATCTTTATCTGCCAACTACAATCGCCAAGGCGCCAAATTGATTTTCAACGGGGGGAAAATTGAAAAAAAATAAATATAGAGGCTTGCTCGGGGTTGACTATGCGTTATACCCCTTAAGTTGGTCCCTTTTTGGGATGTTTTTTTTTTTTAGTTTCTTACGTGCCGCTGCCCGGAAGTTGGCAAGACTTGGCAATTATTCAGCCACAGATCATGATACGGAAATCTTCCATCTAAAATAACTTGTGTTTTGTAAGATGATTTTGGGGGAAAATTCTGTTTAGGATCCTGTGCCAGAATCTGCGATTATTTAAAAAAATAAATTTTAAATAAAAAATCACAGAATGAGGCATAAACCAATTCTGCATATAAATTTTAATGAAGTGTATTTGCTAAAGCCAAGCAGTGGCACAATAAGGATCCATTACAGAAATATCCCTTTATTTTTCTGTAAAAAACTTGATGATATAAAGTTGAATAATTTTTATGCATTTGTATTTTTAGATTTGAAAAAAGATCCTAATCTGAAGAGAGCCGATTTTGACAAAATACTATCCGAATTAGATGAACCAATATGCCCTTACTGCAAACGGATATTCTCCAGCCGTGGTAATTTGAGGAGACACATGGAAATTCACATCATGAGCGATCGTAAAAGATTTGAATGTGATATATGCTTAAAGAAATACAAGCGTAAAGATTATCTGAAAGAACATAAAATGACTGTACACAGTCCTAAAAACAAGTGGAAGTTTTTACGGGTAACGACGAACGATGATTACTGCAGGGATTATAGCATGAAAGATACTTTCAGGAACAATCCTTTATGTTTAATGAAAGATGTTTTCTCTGGGGATGAGCGGTAATGCGAAGTTGATTGTGTCATTTAGACGTTATTATTGTGCTTCATAATAGATATTTAAGCTCAAGGTTTTGGTTAGCTCAATGGTTGTATTCAAATACAATTATTTTTTTGAATTCTTCATTAATTATTTTTTTTTCTGCTAGTTTTTTTTACAGTTATTTTGTTTCACTAATATTTTTTTTGATAACTATGATCCGTAAAATAATTCATCCGTTTCTATGCCGAAGTCTTGTAGTAGGAAAAAATACGAATTTCTGGTTCAAATATCTCATGAATGTTATAAATATGGAAGATACTTAATTTTTTTTTTTGTGGCTGTTTTTCAGTAGTACTAAAAAGTATGAATCTCCCCGTAAATCAGTTGTAAGTTTGTAAAAATTAGGATTATAGATGTTCATTCTTGCATGGTGACTGAAATTAAAATTTTATGTGTGAATGACGTAAAAACTATGGCAAATTTTTTCTTATTTATTGCCAATAATTGGTTACTTACATTATTTTTTGTATCAACTTTTAAGGTAGGGATTTACACTGTATTAGTATGTAAAATTTGGAGTTCATTAAAAAAGTTTAAATAAATGGTGAAAATAAGCTGAAATTGTATTCAGAGAGAGAAAACTATGTAATGAAATGGGGGTTATCGTGTTTTGTCACGTCAACTACAATCACCAAGGCGCCAAATAGATTTTAAACTTATAAATTAAAAAAAAAGATTTTTGCCCAGGGATGACTACTAGTTACACCCTTCTAATGGGTCCTCTTGTTTTATTTTTTAAAATTTCTCATAACCACTACCCTGAAGTTGTCAAGGCTTGGTGATTATTCTGTTGCAGATCATGATATGGAAATCTGCCCTATGAAATATACATATTTATAACATTTTCAGTATTTATTCTAAAATTTTGCATTTTTTTGCAACAATTTAATATTTTGAACAGATAAAAAAATAAACAGGACATATTGATTAAAATTAATAAATCAAAACTTGTATCTTTCATTAGTTTATTTTTTCAAGTTCTCATGAAAGAAATATATTTAAAAATTTTTTCTTTTCATACTCTTCATTTATGAAATGGATTTTAATTTCATTTTTGTAATTTTATGGTGGGACATTTTAAAATTAATGTGCCTGTTTAAGTTAAAATAGATATATTTGCTCAAGTTTAAATTCTTTCAAAAATACTTCTGCCAGTAAATAAAACAGTATTAACTTTTACCGAGTTGCTTTTATGTATATATTGTTATTCATTTTTTTGTAAACATTGTTTTGTTCTTAATTTTCATGCAATCTGTAAATAATTGATGTTACTCATTGTTACATAACTTTATAAACAGTAACTTGAATCTTTTTTCAATCTTGCTGTCAAAAATGGGATATATTTGTTAAAAGCCGCTTTTTCAATGCCAATAACAGTTTTTTTAAATGGTGGATGAAACTAAAAATTCACTTATTAGTAAAAATAATATATAAGAATTAAAACAATGTTCATTTCTGTGTTGCCCATTAAGAAAACCACTTCTAAGTTGAGCAATATTTTTTGGGTGAAAAAATATGCTATCTTCTGTAATACTCTGGGAAAGTATTCAGTAGTTACAATTCGATACTAAGATAAAAATACTTTTTAAGTATGCGATAAAATATATTGTTTTTATTATCTTTTATAAGCTTTACTATGCTACAAAATATGCTTTTCACAATTTGCATGCTTGTTGAATTTTTATAATTGAATGTACTAATATACAAACTTTAACAAGTGCCTTTATATTTTAAATCAATAGTTATGTCTATAATACCATTGTGCCTTATGTAAGTGATGCGTATGTTTAAAATGCATTGTGTCTAGATATTTTGACATTAGTAAGATTAAATACTGTTTATATAGCTTACTATTCAGTAAAAATTCTCAAAAACCTTAAAAAAAATCCTCAAACTTCATGAGGATCTGTCCATTTTTAAAATATAAATTTAATATTTAAGATATTGAAAATAAATAAATAATGAAATTTTAAACTCGTATTTATTTTTATTTTGCATGCATTTCCAATTTTCAGTCTGGTCCAATCAAAATTATGCTATAACTCAAGGAGTTCTTATAAATATTTATGTAATTTGTTTTCAATTTTTATGAAGCATTTTTTTTTTCTTGTGTATTTTTGTATCACAACTTTATAGTAATAGGAAAACATCAACATTTTTATTCTTTGTTGGTAATAAAGTGTCAAAACAAGATGTTGCCTAAATGTAAATAATTTTTTTTCTGTTGTTTTATCTTAAACAATTACATTGTTTTTAAGTAAAATTTGATTAAGGTCATAATTTTGAGTTTATTATTTAAAAGGAATTAATTTTGTGAGTGTGCATTATTAGTGTATGCATTAAGAGTATTTTAAAAATTAATTATCAATGTGTTAAAAAAGTAGATTGCAATTAGTTTCTTATTTTTACATCTCAATATTTTATTGGTTGATAGTTTTTTAAAATTGTTCTTGCCAATACTTTTAACATAAAGTACAAAATTGTGCACAATTGCACTTAAAAATTGTGGTTCCATTTATTTCTAAATGGGTACTAGCTTTGTATTTTTATTAAACAATGGAAGACTGCAATCTTTTTTTCAATAAGCATTTTATCTGTTTATGTTTTCTTTAATTCATACATGTTATTGTTTTACAAGTTGTTTAGCTGATGTTTTATCTTGTATATCTTTTAAAGTTTTTGCTTTAAATGTTTTGTGAATGAAATGTTATATCATATCATACTTTGTATATGCAGTTACTTTGTTGGTTTTGTTACATATATTAAGTTTGGCAGATCAAACATGCAAATGAATCATGATCAAAATTCTTTTATATCTGTTTGTAAGTTTTTGTTTTTTTGACTGGATATGGGTACCTTTTGTATATTTAACAATTATGAATAAAAAATCTTCCATATATGAAGCTTTTTAGTTTTATTGTGTTGTTTTTTTAATTAAACACAGAATAAGAGTGATTGCACATTAACTAACAAATAATATTTGTCAAAAAATTTTCTTGAAATTTTTTTCCTTCAATATAGTTTATTTCTTCCTTTTGTAAAGTTATATTCAATATTCCTTGAATACCTTAACTTTTAGGATTCAATTGGTCTGATAGAATTACTCTGCAGTAAAAAACAGTCATCTAATTTTAGACAAAATCTTTATTATAGCAAGTTCTAAGACTTTAATTGTTTTAATACTTTAACTAGTAAATATTAAAAATAGTCTAATTCTTCTTATAGCTAAAAAATTTTAAATTTCCTAACCAATTTGTTTTAAAGTATTTTGCCTGTCTTTTTGTAATAGAAATTTTGTTAATTTCATTAAAAATTGTTAAAAAGTTTTTAGGTAAATTTTGGCATTGTTATAAAATGTTTACTTGTGCAAAAGTTCTTTCACCCATTTAATGCTTTTGTTCAAATCAACAAAGTTCAAAATTAGATTGAAGACATTTAAACAGAGATTTTGTTTATTTGAACTCATTTGATATACCTTTGATAGTTTTTTTTCAGCACACTCTTTTTTTTATTTTTTTTTTATTTGATTCATTGCTGTGATAGCTCGTAAATTTTTATTCATCCGAGTTAAGAACAGAAAGATATTGTTAAAGTTTTCGGAAAGTATGTATAAAGGATAACTTTATTTTTTGAAAAACTGTACACTGAAAACAAAATTGCTATGAATTTAAAAATTATTGTCAAAAAGTAGTTAAATATCTGTTTCTGTTATGAAATGAGTTTTGAAATAATTTGAGTTTGGAATTGATTACCTTAGTGAAAATTTCTAGTTTTCGTACTACTTCACTTTTAAAAATTTATATTAAAGTATTTCAGATTTACATACACACCTTTGAATAGTTGTGTTTAAATAGACAAAAATATTTTATTTTTCATTTAATCAGGTAATAAATTTAATACCATTGGAATATAACACCTCATCAGTTATAGTAAATTTGATAATCCACTGGAAAAGTAAGTTATTATTTTTTGTTGCATAGTTTAAAATATTAATTCTATTTAATTTCGCAAAATTACTTGAGTGAGGAACTGTACATTGTATATTTCACGCTATGCTCTTAGAAAAATAAGTTAACCTTTATGAAGCCTCTGACTATGAAATGGACTTGCTGTAAAGTCACCTATACATATTTGTTTTCCTCAATATTATGGATACAGTATAATAGCTAATTTCTTTTTTAATATTCCAAAACTAACTCAGACTTGAGCATTATTTATTTAAGTTCGAACCGAATTTTAATTCGGAACTTCATCGGTCTAAATTTTCTTCTTCAAAAATTTAATACCCAATTCTTCATTCAATTTAAAAATTTATTTTCTTTTCTTGAGTACTAATCGCTTTATTTTATTGACACTTTTGCTGTGATTTATCAAGATAAATCAGATTATTTATTTTTAAGCATGATGTTTATGTAAAAAAATAGTTATATTAGTTTCCTATATTAATATAACACTATTTTTCATAATTAGGGAATGAAGAAAAAAGATTAAGAAATATTATGACATAATTGTTTTTAGCATTAGGAACAATTTAATTTGAAAGAAATTTTTAATTTATAGAAATAAAGTTTTACATAAATCAGGTCATATGAAGGAAAATAAAATTGGATTATATAAATATACATAATTTTAAAAGTTTTTGTAAGTTTTAAAATTAAATCTTAGATATGAACTGAAGTTTTTTAACTGATAAATTGACATAAATGTAAAAATTAAGTTGAACTGCAATAGAATAGAATAGATTATTTTGGAATGAAATTCATTGAAAAACAGACCATTCATTATAACTATAAAATAAATTAATATTTAACTAGGCATTTAAAATT